AGAACAATTTGAGGCAGTCTGGGAGGGTATGATCCAGCAGCACATGCTTGGAGATCATAAATGGCTCCAAGCGATTTACGAGGATCGGAGACGGTGGGTTCCAGTTTTCGTGAAGGATGTGTTCTTGGCTGGAGTGATGTCAATACAATCCAGTGATACAGTTTCATGTTTCTTTCAAGAATATTTGGGTGTGCATACTTCTTTAAGAGAATTCCTTGAGAAGTATGATCGAGCTTTACAATCACATTATCAGCTTGAAGCTTTGGCTGATGCAGATTCAAAAAGTTCGAGTTTCATGCTTAGATCAAGTTGCTATTTTGAACTGCAGATTAGTAAATTGTATACCAATGAGATACTCAAAAAGTTTGAGAGGGAGGTGGAGGGAATGTATTCTTCTTTTAGCACCAGAAAGTTGAATGCTGAGGGGTCACTTGTGAGATATATTGTGAAGGAACATGTGGAAATGGAGGGAAGTAGGAGGGATGCAAGAGATTTTGAAGTCTTATATAATGAATCTGAGATGGAGGTCCAGTGCAATTGTGGCCTGTTCAACTCGAAAGGATATTTATGCAGACATACATTATCCGTTCTCAACCAGAACGGTATCGAGGAAATCCCGCCTCAGTATATCCTTCCACGATGGAGAAAAGATGTGAAAAGAAGTTACGTTCTCAACTATAGTTGCAGTGGTATTGATATTAACAGCCAAATTCACAGGTATGACAACTTATACAGATCCATTGTGCAAGTCATTGAAGAAGGGAGAAAATCGAAAGAGCAATACAATATCGCAATACAGGGAATCAATGATATACTGAGCAAGCTTCGTCTTGGAACAAATCCTTCCAGTTAGTTTGGAGAAGTAAGGCTATGGAAATGCGGGAGAGACATTAGAGCAGAGTATTAATGTACTTTGGGACTGGTTTTGTTTTTGTCCATATACTTTTAAATATTCAAATTTAATAGCAGCTATATGAACCGTAGTATTATTTAAACTTTGGACCATTTGATAAAAAAATATATATGTGCAAACTAATTGAATCTTAGGTAGACAAGATAAGATTTGAAAACTATTTTATTACAATTAAAAAGATAAATAAAGATAACTTATAATCTTGATTTCTTAAAACAAAAAAAGAAGGAAAAAAAAGTAAAATTTGAAGTTTGACAAATGCTCTGAAAAACTATGAACTCTCTCTATTCATTAGTTGTAGAAGAATAAAATATCTATTCCATTTCAAAAATCTTCCACTGGCTGTGCAACATAGAAGCCATATGTTGCAAGTGAATGTGAGGCTATATTAACAAAAAAAAAATTATATATATGAAAGTAAATCAGAAAGTAAGGATGCTACTCAATTCCTGTTTATCCCAAAAAATCATTTATCTAAATAAAAAATCTAAATCTAAACTCCAAGAACCTAAATCTCCCTTTTCAAAATGGCATCAGACATCTCGGTAGATGGGGATGGGGATAGTAATGATCCATACCGTAACCAATCTCTGGTGCAAATGAGGGCCTCGAGTATTGCCGGTGGCAATGACCTTCGATAGCTATCAATTCTTTGGATTTCAGTGTCGAAAACTGAGTCATGAGGAACGGTCGACACAGGCATGGACAAGATATCATAGGCCATTTTCGACAGCGTAGGATACCGATATCTGTTTAGTCTCCACCAACTCAAAACGTCGAACTCTTGTGATTTGGGAAATAAGTCCTCCTCCAAATAACGATCTAACTCCGATTTTGTTTGCTCGTTTTCAGAGATCTCAGAGATATATACATCAAAATCTGAGAGCCCATCACCTGTTGTAAGATATATTTCTCCCTGATGTTCTTCCTGATGTGTCTCGTTTATGGAGATATCGATATTCCCGTCTTCTCCAAAGGACTCTGATAGAGTAAGTGTTTCCATGGTGTACTGGAGGAAAAGATCACGGAGACCATAGTCAACAATCCTGGTCCAATCCTCTTCATTCTGAACAAACACTTTGGAGAAGATAAATTTAACAAGCTTCAATTTGTACCTTGGATCCATCACCACTGCCATTGCTAAAATTAAGCAACTATCGTTCCAATATTTATCAAACTTATCTTTCAAAGGCTTTGTCATGTCACGAACAAGTGGATCCTGGCTCATGCTTGCATTAGTAAGCTCTGTTTGAATTTTTGATACTTCTGGGAAGAACACATTTGCAGTTGGATAACAGGGTGAAGTTAAGATGTTAGCCACATCGAAAAAGTACTTCAAATATGTGCAAAGAGCTTCTGCAACCTTCCAATCATCTGTTGATATAATTAGTTCATTACTAGGATCAGAATCATTACTAGGATCAGATTCTTCCAAGTACGAAAAGACTTCTTTCAACTCACAGGCTGCTGTCAACATATGAAACGTTGTGTCCCATTTGGTTTGATTATCAATTGAAAGCTCCTTAGTGCAGGGTACTTGAAGTTGGCCCTTCAACTCAAGGAACTTCTCCTCTCGGACAAAGGAGGTTTTCACATACTTCACGCTTTCACGAATCTTCCATACAACTTCACTCATTGACGACAGTGCACTCTGTGCAAGCTGACAAAGAACCTGAGCTAAGCAATTCCCTAACAATAACTGACCATTAAGGAAATTTGGGTCATTAGCAACTAAGAAAGTTCTAAAATTCCTAGCAAGGGTATCACTTAAAAAGGACTGATCAACTGTGAAGGCAAAGACGCGTCCATCCAATCGCCAATTGGACACGCAAGTGAGGACGGCCAGATTTAGAGCATCATCCTTAAGAGAGGGTATTCTAACAACATTTAGCATCAGACAATGTGAGTTCCAATTATTGTCAATGAAATGTCCTTTCAAGAAGACATAGCAAGTGGTGTCACTCGAAATCCAAACATCTAATGATAAACTTATTCGACTGGGAATTCCACACACAAAATTCAAGAGGCTTTCTTTTTCTCTAAGGTATATGGATGTACATTCTTCTTGTACTGTAGCGTAGCTCATCATGTTGAACTGTGGTTGAAGGCTTCGGACAAAATCAATAAAACCCGCCTGCTCTACCATGTCAAGTGGATACTCATGCATAATAATCATTATGGCAATATCATGGTTACAGCGATTCTGATCAAAGGGAATACTCACAAATGTAGGAGTTGCTCTATAGCGTTTTCTAGGTGGATTGGCAGCATTCCCATTAGTGAAGGTTGTAGGAGCACAATTAGACTGATTTCGCTCACGGCTTACAGGGCAAATTCCCAAAGCAATGTGACGCTTTAAATGGCTGGTGCCTGCTAACTTTGAACCAGTAATGTAAGCAAAAGATTTATTGCACTGGTTACAATAGGCTCTGATACATCCATCTTCAACCGTTTGAACAGTGAAATAATCCCAAACAATAGATTTCTTCCTTCTACGCTTATTTGGCTTGTCAACAAGTGTTAAAGGAAGATCCGGTGTCATCGAAGTTGTAACACTGCAAGAAAAACAAAAAGTTTACACTACAAATTCATCATACACAACGTTCTTTATAACTTATCCTCTGTAAACATGCATACGTATGCCATAATTTAGACGTACAAATTCACTCTAGATTATAAAAAGAAGTAAAAACCCCAATGCACATAATGCAACAGCAATCAGAAGAAAGAAAGAAAGAAAGAAAGAAAAACAGATAAGAACCCCCACCCAACCAGTGCCCTGGTTTTAGTCACCCAATTCAAGGAAACAAATTCGAACTTTTTCCTGTTTTCTCTAAGCCCAAAACACGAAAGTCCATCCCACGAACATAGTCGACGTCAAGCAACAAAGACTGTTTAATAATTAACCGAACTCGAAGACTCACAGTCACAAATTTCAATGCAAGCACCAACTCCGATGACTCGACAAAACGCCGATAAACCCCAAACAGAGAAAACAACAAAACCAAACCTCCCCGAAAAACTTCGTTGAATCAATTACCTTCAATAACACTCTCTAAAAAAGCGGAAAACAAGAAAAAGAAAGAAAGAAAGAAAACATACCAAGACTGATGAATTTGGTTATCAATTTCCCCGTCATGCAACTCCATCACAGAAAACCAGAAAAGAACTTCCGTTTGCTGTGTTCTTCCAGGCTTCGAAAAAGTTAGAAAAACACGAAGTTGCAGAAAGTTTGAAAAGTTGGCGCAACGTCTGTCGAAGACGAAGCAGTCTAATGGGCTTTTGGGTTCAATGTTCAGAGCTTCATAAACCCTAAAGTGGACCAAAGGAAACAAAGGATTAAACAAAAAGGAAGGAAAGAAGGAACTCTAGGGCGAATTGGACCGGGCGTGGGCTATTTATAGGTTTATTTCAAAGACTAAATCTCTGTGGTCAAGTTTTTAGCCCACCTCCAATTATTTAATCTCAACCGTCCATTTTTACCTTTTTATTGTTCTGAATTTAAAGATTATAGGAGCTTTAGTAAAGTATTAGGTTAAAGTATTAAAAAAAATCTCTTCCAATTTTTTATTTGTACGAATCTTAAAATTTTAAAAAAATTTAAAAATATTTGAATTAAAAATTTATTAGAATATTAAATCCACTGCAGATACACTATGTCGCACATGTTTAGATTTAATTTAATAAATTTAAAATTTAAAAATATTTGAAGTAAAAATTTATTAGAATATTAAATCCCAGATACACTAGGTCTGCACATGTTTAAATTTAATTTAATAAAAGAGATCTCGTCAAATAAATATATATATATATATATATATATAAAGATTATAAATATAATATTGTATTAAATAAAAAAATCTCAATTAATCACTTTAAATTTATTTTTTGAATAATCGAACGTGTAAGTTCAAAAATGATATTCTAGATTATTATTTTTTTCTTGGATTTGCAATTTTCACAAGAACAAGAAAGGCATCACAAACTCCTTCCCAAAATTTGAAGCTTCCAAATAAACCAAATGGAAGAAACAATAAGATCGTTCGGGAAGAAATCAGGAAAATTTGAAGTTTGACAAATACACTACAAAATGTTAAACTCTATTTATTAGTTGACATAGAAGCATAAAACATCCTTATTCCATTCTAAACATTTTAAACATCTTCAACAAAGTACAAGTGGGTGATGATTAAGGGGAAGGTGAAATTCCTGAGTCGAAAAAAGGGTAAAAATAATTAGCTCGAACCGTCGCAAGTGAAACCATGCTAGAGAACAAGTGTATACATATTTGTCCAATGGCTTAATCAATCCAGAGAAAGAGTCGTCGTCGTCGTCTTCTTCGTCTTTCACGTAGAATATCAGTCGGTATTATGCTGCAACACAAGACCCACCCAATTGCTGGAGTAAAAGATAGAACTCAAACCAACTTCGAAACAAAGCTCTACTTGTCTCCACCTCCAAACATCCCCATCATATCTTTATTGGAACCCATTTGCTTCATCAAGCTCTGTAAGCCACCCATCCCGCCAATTTGCTTCAAAATCTGGGGTGGAAGGACCTTACTCATGTGCTGTGCATTCATGTTTCGAGATAGAGCGCTCATTTCGCCCTTCTTTGGGATCTTCAGCCCTTTCATCTTGCTCCATACCTTGGCGAGGCGTTTGTACTCTTCCATCATTTCCATTACTTCCTGAATGCGGCGACCTGAACCTCGTGCTATTCGCATCATTCTTGACTCGTTCATGAGCTTCGGGTTTGAGCTATCCAATTCTGTCAAAATAATAAATCCATGTATCAGTCTCACAATCATCAAATTCAGTAGACACCGAGGTAGCAAGAAAAAGATAGGCAGAGCATATGGATAGTTTTTGCTTTCCTTCATCAGTCATTGAGTCCATCATTGTCATGTAGCGTTTTAGTTTCGCTTGGCTTTCCTTTTCACGCCCTTTTGGCATCAATTCAGCACTAAATCCAGGAAGCATTGAAAACACCTAAACAGACCATTTCTTAGAATAATGCTTATGTCTGTTTCAAGAAGTCATTGATGTAAAGAAAGACTGCAATCAAAGAATTAAAAACTTGACCCCCCCAATCAGCGTATAGCAAGTATTTAGAGCAGAAGTTCTAATTCCATGTAAACACACATTATCTCAATTATTTATAACACGAAATTGGCTAGAAAGAACTTGTATTTGCTAGGACAGTTGCAGATCTGTGAATAAAAATGTGAAGCAAAGCATATTCTAAACTTGCTTAAGCGATTTTACGATGCAACTCTGCGTTCCTCTATAAAGTATCTATTGCAAGAACCAGGCCGTATTTCCAAGATTTATGTCGATATCATTAACCTTAGTAGTGCAAAGTTTAGAACCTGAGGAACAGTTTTTACTATGATGAACCACTAAGTGACACTACTACTCACAAATCTCCCTCAGAACTTAAAAGGTTAACCTACTTTTTTTTTTTCCAAATGTATGGGAGAAGCACATAACAAGATTAATGGTATATTATATCATGTCAGAATAATACCTGGCTAATTGGACCCATCTTAAGCAAGTTCTGAAACTGCTCGTACATAATTCTCAAAGTAAAATTTCCTTCGGAAAGCTTTTGTAAAAGCTCTGGTTGCTGATCCATTGGCACGACTTCATGAATTTTATCCATGAATCCAGACCAGTCTCCCATGCCTAAAGAAATAAAACAATCACTTAATGAACAGAAAAAATGAAATAACTGAAGCCAACAAGTTCAGATTCAATAGATAAAGCACCTAGGAGACGGCTGACAAATGGTTTAACATCAAAAACTTCAAACTCATCCATGTGTTCTCCAGTTCCAATGAAAATGACTGGACTCTTTGTTGCTGCAACACTGCAACCATACGTAGAAAACAAAAAAATTTAGCTCAATGATTCACCATTCATCTATACATCTTTCATACGTACAAATATTAAAATAGAATGCATACAGTGAATCCCAGAAAAAGATAACAATTGTGTAACAAACTTCGACACAATATCCTCCTAGCATCAATTGGACTAAGCTATTTAACGTGACCAGGCACTTGATCAAACAATGAATCTGATGAATATCTACAGATATGTTCCATAAGGCTCACAAACTACAAAGAAAAATAAAGCTTTGGCAAAACAATCGGCATGGATTTTCCAACTTTCATTATGGTTTTTCATCCCAAAAAAAAGCAGGAATAAACAGCTTTGAAAACTTACGCACTAAGAGCACCACCTCCCTTTGCGTGACCATCCATTTTAGTCACAATCACAGCACCAACTGCAACACTTTGTTTGAATGCTTGAGCTTGGTCAAATGCTGCCTGACCAATACTGCTATCCATAACAAATATAACAAGATCTGGTTTCTGGACAAGGCAAAGAACAGTCAGGAATTTCAACAAGATAATCAAATGGCCAACAAAAGAATAAGTACAAGAAAATTACCGTTGCTTCAGAAACTTGCCGCATTTCTTCAAAAAGAGCAGCTTCTTGTTTGTGACGCCCACTGGTATCAACAATTATGAGATCACAATTTTCTTTCTTGAATCTCTCCACACCTTCCTCCGCAATTTTTACAGGATCTGATTCCATGTAACTACAAAATAGGGAAACAAAGAATAATGGATATACTGAATGACATCTTGATGAATAAATCGAGCACACTCCAGAAACAAAGAAAACTTCAACTATAAAAGTAAAAACTAAAAGGAAAGGGAAAAGGAAAAGGAAAAAAAAAAGAGAGCGAACACACACACACATGTATATACATATTTATGTTCCAGGATATACTGGAACCATAAACTCTAAACATATCTCCTTCCATACCTCACCCACCACCAATACCAACCAAATTACAAAAACGCTAGAAGAAAGAAAGCAAAGATGTCGAATACTATCAAACACAATGATCAATACATGCAAGAAAGTAGTTTGCTCTTAGCAAGAAAAGTTCTAAAGAGGATAACACACTAAGTTATTAATTTGGTAAAACCACCCCCTCACATATAGTACTATTCTTTTCATAAAACCGTGCTTCCATAATCATAGATATGCACAGACGAGTCAACTCAATAATATATAGGTACCATACCTTCCATAAAAGGGAATCTTTGCTTTGGTTGCATTCTGCTTCAATTGATCAAAAGCACCAGCTCTGAATGTATCTGCACACACCAAGGCAGGCTTCCAGCCTTTCTTCTGATGATAATATGCATACTTTGTGCATGTTGTGGTCTTCCCAGACCCTGTATTTTAGAAAATAAAAAAAGTATGGGGTAACCAATTACATGTAGAAAAAAGTGAAAAGGGTAAAAAGAAAAATATGGATTTCACAAATCAAACAATTATAGTTCAACAAGAATGAATTATAAGAGAAATCCTTATTCTAAACGAACATTTAACTACAAATCTTTCAGATGCTGCTACATCGTGAATAAAACAGCTCCCAGATGGTAGCTTTAGATTTCATCTCGTCAAACTCAAATAGTGACGAATGATGATAACAGCAACTAACCCACATAAGTCTGAATGTCCAAACGCCACATTTAAGTGGATCAATAAATGAATACTGAAGAAAACAATCTTACAGCCGACATACCTTGCAAACCAACAAACATGATAACACTAGTTTTTCCTTTCTTTGGCGTAAAAGATGGCTTCCCAGGATCAAGCATTTTGCACAATTCATTAAATACAGCCTACATATGGAGAAAAGAAAACCTCTTAAAATGCAGCTTACCAATAAATAGTATACAATAGGTAATTTTTAAAATAGGTGAGTGAAGAGACCAACAAAACGAGTAAAGTTGTTCAGCATGGTTTTATTATCAAAAGTAGTCGTAAAAATGATGAGGGATATATCATCTTCAAATGTTGATCATTGGGAGTTAGCCTTGGTTAGCTGTAAACATCAGTTACTCTGTAAAAAAGGGTTTGGGAGTGTTGCAATCACCTTCTTTGTCCATTTCAGTTTTTCTTTTACTACCTCCAACTAGTCTCCTCTTTAATCAAAAAGTCACACTCTTGAGGTTAACCCTCTCTTTCAAAACAAGAATCCCGCAGAACAATGATGCCCACGGAAGTACTAACCCACCCAGTTATCTCTACCACAGCATACTTCGAAAATTTGGAAAGCCGAACAAAAATTGCTATAGCAACGTTAAAGTACACAAATCCTAAGACATGTCATATTTATAAACTTCGACACATAGAAACAGTTAAAATTAAGTGTACTCAGAAAGATTTTTCGTTTCCCATAGATTCTCGTAGTACATAATCAAATATATGGACAATTTCGAAAGTCATTGAGCACTAAGATACAGCAGCAGCAACAGCCAAAAAAAAAAAAAAAAAAAAAAAAAAAATTTAAATNAAAAAAAAAAAAAAAAAAAAAAAAAAAAAAAAAAAAAAAAAAAAAAAAAAAAAAAAAAAAAAAAAAAAAAAAAAAAAAAAAAAAAAAAAAAAAAACTAGTCTTAAATTCAGCTACAACTCTTGCGATCAACTTTAGTTTCATAAAACGCTAAATCATAAAAACAAAACAAAAAAAATCATTGGCCATGACGAGAAGATGGAAAATAAAAACGACACATACTTGTTGAATGATCTTGCGCTTATTATGACCGGCGGCGAGGTCATCCAGATTGACAATTTTCTTGATATTGGTCTGCATGTCACGGACAAGCTTGAATTGGACATCGGATTGAAGAAGAGCACGGGTGATCTCGTTGAGACATTCGTTCAAAACCTTCTCGTCAATGACCGTCGCATTGCTCATCTGCTGGAGGGCACGGGAGATGCTCCCTCCAAGCTGTGCTAAAACCATCTTGGCCGATTGTTCGAAATCTGAATTCGAGTTGTTGATTGATTGAGCGAGCTTTTGGAGCAGGGTTCCGATTTGAGGGTTTCAGAGAATTTACGACGTCCTTCTCCGCCTTTCAGAGGCCGATTCGGAGTAGTAAAAATGAAAAATACGATTGTCGACCAAATGCCTATTATTATAGTATGCGCCTGCCCGTAGAGGATCCTCGGTTTATTTACTTGAATTTCAGTTTTGTTTTTCCTTTTTTTGTTGGGTCTAAATAGTACAGATTTTTGTTCTAAAAATAGTATTTATATAATTAAAGAGTAATCATATGAAAATTCAGAGTCGTCGGTTTAGTATCTAACCTTTTTGGTTTGTGTCTACTTATGCGTCTAATAGATTGATTCTCAAGGTTTAAATGAACACGAAGCACCATAGAATGAACACGATACATAGATGAATCACAATATTTCAACAAAATCCCAAGTCAAAATCATTTTTGTTTAATAATACCTTGAAAAGCTACAAATGAATATTGTGAGTCTGCAAATGTAACTCTAACCATTATCATTATAACAAGTGAGACATACAAAAACTTGGCTTGAAGAAAGTAGAGAACACCCACTCTGAGCACAATGTCACCACTGGAAGATGCCTCAAGAAAACATCTCCAGAAAATGGCCAAATAATGTCTTTGAGCCATTATTGGATAGCAGTAAAATCATCTACAGCCGATGAGGTCGAACGAGAACTCGTAAACATTGTTCGCTTTCAACCGAGCCAAATTTTACATGTGGGGCTAAAAGTTATCTTTCAGCCATTTTAGAGCTCCATTCGCTACAGACCTGCAAGTTCCACATGCTTATAAGTAGAGGCAACAGCAAGCTATCACTTTGACACAAGTCTTTGTAAAACTTAAGTTTATGGTGCATTCAAAATCATTAATCATGAACACATGATTCCAGAATGTTCAATCAACTCGGACCTTCAAAGTAAACAAGAAAAGAAACAGTTTTTGAGAACTCATAATCCAAACATAACTTCAAATTTTATACTGCGAGGTTTTAATCCTTCCACCCTACGTGTTGTTAATCCCCAGAATATGATAGTTTAAAGAGACGAGACCAGCAATTAGCGATATATTTGCAAAAGCGATGGAAAAAGTAGGTGAGGCGAGGCGAGCAGTTAATCTTCACACCATGCAGTAGCAACACGTCATTTTGGATCTTCTGTTAAAGACTCGAACATCCAAAATGTCTACCAATAATCTAATTGGAATGGAATGAATTCAGAATTTACTTTCCTATGTCCATTCCCACCAAACACACCCCAAAACGAAACGGGGCAATTGAAAGCACGTAAAAGAGAGAGTACCCGGCAAAATCTTGTACTTTCTTCCATAGATCATTCGAGTCCCCATCATCAGTACTATTGGCAACTGTTTTGACCTCATCTTCTGTACTTATACCTGTAAATGCAAACACTTCTAAGAATTCCACTATTGAAAAGTGTGGATGAAAATGTTATATGTAGTTCTATTAGGAGATTAGGAAAACTTGCAGGAAAGATCTGTCAATATAGCTTACTAGTTGGTTGTGGTTGTGGTTGTGGTTGGGGTTTTGGGCGAGTTCTGAAACGACTCCCAGTCCCAGAAGCGTTGTTCAATGAAGCTAGCTCTTCAAGCAATTCTCGCTCTTTTTCACTGTAAACAAAAATATACATTGTTAATACTTACCAAAAGATGAAGAAAAAGGAGAATCTAGAATGAATACACTTTTACCTGATACGATTTGGTATGGTTACTTTGATTGTGAATAAGTGATCGCCTCGAATCGATGGCTTATTCAGTTTTGGAACACCTTTCTTTGCAAGAACAAGAACATCACCAGGCTGAGTACCAGGTGGAATTTGTAGATCAGCCATTCCTTCAACAGTCTTTACCTGTATATCTCATATAAAAAGATTAAACCATATAGCAAAGCAAATTCAACAAAATGCATACATCATTTGTTAATGAAGAATAAAGAGGTAAGTAAAAGTCCACCTTGACAACAGATCCCATAATGGCATCCAGATAACTGATAGCAACTGTTGAGTAAAGATTGATGCCATCTCTTTGAATTCCAGGTATTTCTTCTACATCAAGATACACAAATAAATCTCCTGGAGGTCCCCTGGCAAACAAAAAAGCTACCTGGCTTACTTGTTTGAAGTACTAACGAGAACTTAAGAATAAAACCTGGAAAGAAAGCTGGGCCATTTTCATTCACAAAATAAAGGAATCTCAAAGCCAATATAACATTGCAAGGACACGTGTTCGACAGATTAGTGCCTCGCAAGGTTATGAATCAGAAACATCACCCTAAAATATTATAATCAGAAGTAAAAAACTTGAGCTCATACCCTTTGGGTCCAGCATCACCTTCTCCTGCAACTCTTAGGATACTGCCTGCAGTAACTCCAGGAGGAATTTTAACCTTGATGACTTTCTTAATGCGGATGCGTCCTTCACCAGAACACTTCCGACAGAATTCAGATATGACCTCACCATTGCCACCACAATTTGGACATACAGAAACCTGACATAAGTATTGGACCAAACCGATCGGATTTAAACAAATACAAAACTATCTCAGATAGCAAACAGTAGATAAGCATTCCAACCAAACCAAATGAATTTTCAAACTTCGGTCAGCTACAAAGTTAGGGAAGGCAAAAGTCAAGTTTGAAAGCAACAGTGATGCCAATACCTGAGAAAACAAGCCGAAAGGTGTTTGCTCGGTTCTCATAACTTGACCTCTCCCTCCACATGTTGAGCATATCCTCATTTTGGAGCCTACCTTTGAACCAGTACCCAAGCAGACTTCACATGTTTCCAGATGGGACAGATCAAATTCTTTCTCTGATCCAAATATGGCTTCCGAAAATCCTAAATTGATGTCATAACTGGACTTGCAGTCATTTAATGTGAATTTAATGAGTTAAAGTTGAAAAAAGAACTACAAGGAAATAATATTCTACTGATTGAAGACAGCCCGATAAAATACGTAATCAATTGAAGTACTTGTTATTCTAGTCACCTATTTGTTAAAATTCTTTATTTTTTTAATATTCGGGAGTGTTTGGACCAGCTTGCGCACCCTTCGATGATTCTCCCAAGACAACTATATAACCCTACCATGACTTGAACTCATTCTCTCTAAGTCATTTATTATTGACATGGCTCTTATTGACCTCTATGCCAACCCATTGTGCTAGAATTTTTTAGTTGAAAATAGAGAAATTACGATATAAAAAATCAATGCCTGATGCTCTCAAAGTAGAAAAAGCCCAATCAAAGGCATTTGTAAGAGTGGCTTGCAATGCCTCACCTATTGCCACGGGCAAACTTAACTGCGTCTCTATAAACCTATGTCCACTTAGTACTAATATCATTTAATTAACTACATAACTTTAAGCAAGAGGAAGATCAAGTGACAATGCACACCAACAAGTACTGTAGAAAATGAGGATTTCCTGAAAAATTTATAAAACTAACAGGTCGCCTTCTAGATCTTATGGAGGTAGGAAATGTGTGGGGGAAAGAGGAAAATCAGGTTATAGCATGTCTTGTAAATTTTTCTCAAATCAACAAAATAAGTAAAGGTTTTCCTCAGCATGACGAACTGTAATGTCATAAACATAGGCACATTGTAACAGCCCAAGCCCACCGCTAGCAGATATTGTCCTCTTTGGGCTTTCCCTTTCGGGCTTCCTCTCAAGGTTTTAAAACTCATCTAATAGAAAGAGGTTTCCATACCCTTATAAGGAATATTTCGTTCCCCTCTCCTACCGATATGGGATCTCACAGTCTACCTCCATTCGGGGTCCAACGTCCTCGCTAGCACACCATCCGGTGCCTAGCTCTGATACCATTTGTAACAGCCCAAGCTCCCTACTGGCAGATATTGTCCTCTTTGGGCTTTCCCTTCCGAGCTTCTTCTCAAAGTTTTAAAACGCGTTTACTATAGAGAGATTTCCACATCCTTATAAGAAATGCTTCGTTCCCCTCTCCACACGTCTACTTAAAATTTGTTAACAAATACTCCAATAGAAAATTTGTAACACATATAATGAACATGAAATGCTTAAAATTGATAGACAAATACTCCAATAGAAAATTTGTAACACAAAACAAACATGGAAATCAGCGAAGGTACAAGTAAGATTCCCTTAATTGAATCTAACAAACACAGGCATTGAAGGAAATATCACCCTGCTCCAAAAATAGTAGCAAAAAAATCATATTTTTCAAGCACTTATCATACTGTGACTCACCGTATGTCTTCACCCTTAGTAACAGTACTGCTTCGGCGTGTGCGGAACCCAGTTGGATCCATACCGCCAAATCCTCCCATGCTTGGTCCAAAGAATGTCTCAAATAAATCAAAGGGATTAGTCTGCAACAACAATATATTGTATAAGCCCCAATATTTCTTGACGTAAAAATGCATCAAGCAGGAAGCACATTTCTCTAGCAAATTAGAGACGACGTCAAATATCAACGAACCGTATAAGCACTAGATCCCCCTACTGTACTCTTCACTCCAGCTTCACCATATTGATCATACAAAGCCCGCTTCTTATCATCTGAAAGAACCTGACAGCATTGTACTTGCGATTCAAAGGACAATATTATAAGTGGGAAAATCAAAAGGGTAAAGTGTTTCATCAGCAATCAATAATATCATAAAGTGAAGAAACCAACTTTTGAAATGATAAATTTGGAAACCGATTGCAAATATAGATAGTGTTGAGGATTGTTGGGAGGGTGTCCCACATTGGCTAATTTAGGGAATGATCATGGGTTTATAAGTAAGGAATACATCTCCATTGGTATGAGGCCTTTTGGAGAAGCCCAAAGCAAAGCCATGAGAGCTTATGCTTAAAGTGGACAATATCATACAATTGTGAAGAGTCGATAGTTGATAAGAACACACCATAGATTTAAATATTGCCAAAGAAGACAGGAAGAATACACATTTAAGATATATTTGCAACTTGAAATGGAAGCTCTGAAAACATACACCCACATGCACTATGATTAAATCTTTTTCCTCAACCATACCTCGTAAGCAGCACTGATCTCTTTGAACTTCTCAGTTGCTCCAGGTTCTTTATTCACATCAGGGTGATACTTGAGAGAAAAGAGAGAGAATAAAAAGAGTCATGTTGGCAAGCCGAAGATTTACAAACCAAACCACTCCACAATGAAGCTTACAAAAACTCAGCTCAATCTGTATATTTCACAGCCCATATTCTAGAGAAAACATTTAGAAAAGATGAAGCATTACGATCATCAGCTATAATTAACAGTATTGTAGTAGATTCAAATTATCAGTGATTGGCGATGCTCGAAGAGGTTCAAAGATGACATTGAGAGTTTAAACAAACAGTACCCATTTTCCCACAAATTTATTCCCGTATAGATAAAATTCTCAACAACTAACCTCCCAGCTTCATCGCGATTACCAAATTACACCCAAAAAAACTTGAACAAATTTCGTACCTGACGGGCTAATTTTCGATAAGCGGCCTTAATTTCCTTGCTATTAGCAGACTTGGGGATCCCGAGAGTTGCATAATAATCCCCGGAAGCACAAACAACAACTCCCATGCCTCGTCTGGAAGAGGCCCTTTTATTAAATTGGGAATTGGGAGAAGAAGGAGAAGAATTAGATGAATAAAAATGCACATTAAGGAAGTTCCTGTGGAACTTGAGATGGGTTCCGCCATGGAAGAAGGAAGATGATGAAGCGGAAGAAGAAGAAGCAGAGAAACGCTCGGAAGGGGGAAAGGTGAGGGGAGAAGGAAGGAGGGAAAGAGACGAAGCGGCCATTAGAGCCTGTAGATAAGAAATGGGTATGATGGGAGTGTTAAACTGAGGAGATGAATGCGATTGTTCACCGTTTTGGTGGGAAATTTACGCTGGCTTTTGAGACTGTGGGCAAGAAGAAGAAGAAGAAGAAGAAGAAGAGGATCGAAAGATGTGGTGTGATTTTTCTTGTTACACGTAATGCCACAGTTTTAATTGTGTTCATGTTGTTTTTATGAAATTTTAGGTCTTTTTCTTTCTTCCATTTTTTTAATATATTTCAAAGATATATATATTTTAAGTCATAATTTAACAACTTGACATATATATATATTTATTTTGGCTCCATTTAATTATAAAAAATATATATATATATAAATCCCAACCCAAATTTAGATTAGTTTTTTACCCCGAATTACAAAGTTTCAACACCTTGCACTGAGAAATTTGTGAACAGTAAATAAATAGAAACAATGTTTGTACTTACTTTCTGAAAAGATATATTTTTTACTATTAACTTGTTAACAATTTATCCATTTAGGCAACAAATCTTTTACCCGAACGTAAAGATTCAATCCTTGCTCGAGGAATTCATGAATAAATAAATAGAAGCAATGTCTATAGTAATAAATAAATAAAAATTTATCATTCACAAACAAAACCTAACTGTCATCATTCACGAACAAAATCTAACCGTTATTATTCACGAACGAAACCTAACCATCATTATTCACGAACGAAACCTAACCGTCATTATTCATTTGCAAACGATCCAAAAGTACAATTACGTCAACTTGTAATTTAAGAGCATAAACTTGGCAATAATTTGATATTCCACCACCAACAATCATCAAATTGAACAAAGGCTTTATTGAAAAGCATGGGGAAACAAATAGAAGTTCCACAACAGAGCTGCGGTGGCAGTCACCATTCCAGGAAGAAATATGATCAAACTCAAATACAGAAACAAACACACACTGGTCTGCAATACCTCTATTCATAGGATGCTCCATTCCTCCCTGCTCTCCCCTTCCCTCATCTCTCATTCACGCTCTCTGCTACTACCTTTCTGCAACCAACAATTTTGATCTTTACACTGCTTTTTGCTAGAAGACATCGGGATGGAAGCGTCCGGGAATCGAGCTGCTTTGTTGAGCCTGCTTCAAATGCATTGTCAATGCATAATTGTTTACCTGTAACAACAAAAGCAACGAAGTTCATTTCCAACCGGTTAGAAAAAGTAGCATGATCATGAACATGAACATGTTTAAGAACTTTAAAAAGGTCTGCAAAAATACTAGGGAAGACAATTGAAAAGGTTGTGCAGTTTATTCTGACCTCTAGCGTTCTCAGCTGCTCCTGATATTGAGATACCAACTGTTTAAGGTGTTGCAACTCTAGGTTCTTATCCTCAAATTCCTTCTGACGTTCATGTTGTATGGCAACTGCTCGCTTAAGAATTGTATTTTCTCGTAGTAGTACTTCAATTTGTTCCTTCAGTTGCGTGTTTTCCTGAGTAACAGTGGAAAAACATAAGTTTATAGCAATAGAATGTTTGACAAGTGAATGAGCCTCAACCAAATCTAACTGCTTTCAAATGCTCCAAAAGCCTACCAGTATTCCAAATTTATTCCCCAAGGATATGGAAAGCTTATTGGAGTTGTGAGGATTACGATTGACGTACCTTGTGGAAATTTTGTGCTGCATCAGCACCAGCACGTGCACTAATCGAGCTCTCTAAAGCCTCTAATGCTCTAGCTGCACGAGTCCTAGCATCCTCTACACTAGTAGCACTCATCATTTCCCTTACAAACAAGTCAACCCATTCCCTACCATCAAGAGAAACACGGCTTGGTGCTGACAAATTCTCTGAAGCAGCAGGCTCCCCATTGTCAGCAAATGAACCTACAAATTTTTTAAACATACGTTGAATTATACATCTTTACAAGAAAGCAAAAAAAAGGGAATGAAAGTTGTTGAACAGTGCCCTTAGTAGAAAAAATGCATGAAGCAAGGTTCAACATTAATATGAAATTTTTGTTGAGAACAAATCATGCTGTGAGGCAGAGAAATAAATTATCAGACTAAAAAAAAACCTCATTGCAAACAAATCAGGGGCAATACAGCATAGAAGATTAGAACTCCTTTCACAAATTTATCTCCAGCAAAACGGAACTAGGGTTATTTTCCTGAGCATGTACCAGCCAATTCCGAAATATATACTTACCAAATCAAACTACAAACAGCAAGGTACATCATACTCCAAATGAAAAAAAAAATACATCATACTCTAAGAGAATGGACGTATGGTACTCTACATGAGAAATTTGTTTCTGATTTCTCAATCAAAACTGGAAACATCTTCCTCTAACCTGGACAAGGAACGGGTATGATTAGTAATCCAAACTAGGGACAATACGCAAGGGGGGCCCATTGGATCTCTTCCATGAAATAAGCATACATTATATTCCAATTGCGAACTATGTTTCTCAATTAGCATAGTTTCATCTAAAAGTTAAACCTTCCTTTCTTTGAACAAGGAATTCAATCATGAATTCATCATCATAATATAATTAAACTCATGAATAAACAGAAACAAGGAAAATAAACATGAAGCAATTCCTTCATTATTTAGCACCATGTGATACCTTGGTCCAAATTTGTCTCTGCTGGTGTAGTAGCAACAGGATTCTCAACAGTAGATCCCAAACACATGTTACTCAGACTTTTGATGGCAGCATCCAAGTCGTTGCCACATTCTTCAAGGACTCTTACAAGAAGCTGAAAGGAAAAAATTCAACCACGATCAAGAAAACCTTAGGGGAAAAACAAACTACAGTATCAAATAAGAAACCGAAAGAGATGCATCACAAATTAAAACTGAATAGAAGCCCTCCAATTTCATGCTGCAACTTAGCGAACTAAGTTGATAAATTCACAGCCCAAAAACGCATATAACTTCACTATTATATGCAAAACGAAGAGAATAACACGATTTCCCTAAGGTTACACCTGTTTTCAGAAAATCCCAAATAAATTCATGTTATAACCCTGTCAAGAAATATGATATTACACAAGCACAAAAAAGAAAAGAAAAGAAAAGAAAAAAAAAAAAAAGGAAACCTCAGAAACAAACAGAGAGCGACAGTTTCTCAAATTAAAACGAAACTATATATTTAAAATAAAATAAATAAAAATAAAAAAGAAGACAAGGAAGAAAGAAGAAACCTGATGGTCCATTTGAGGAAACAAATTCTGTAGCTGATCAATAAGACAGGACGCAGCGAATCTAATTGGAGAAGTAGTAGAGGAGCAGCGGAGGCGCTTGGAAACGGGAGGCGAAGGCGGTAGTTCTTCAAAGAAAGATCTTTTGGTCCCGCACACCACAGCAGACATCGTCTCCCGGTTGTCGCTTGCAGAATCTAATTCCTAAAATTACCGTTCGTCCCCGAAGCAAACACCAATTCGAACACGATTGAAGGAGGAGGCGACGAACAGAATGGGAAGAAATGTTAGGGCTGGAGAAGGGAGCTTTTGCTTGGGCAGGAGGAAAAAGGAAGAAGAAGAAGGGAATGAAAGATTTTGATTTCTTTGGGGTTAGGTTTCTTAGGGTCTCAAGTGGGTGTGAATTCACCAAATAAGGAAAAAAAATTAAATTTTTTTTAAAAAAGTCCGTTCAACTCTAATAATAATAAAAAATATAAAATTTGTCAAATTAATTATATCGGTTTAAAGCATAGATATTCTAAGTGTATCTGTTTACGCGATTTGTCATGTTCTATTTGAAAAACGTCATTTACACACACGTAGAGATTTATGATTATACAAATTAAACTTTTCAAATTTCATAGATAAATGAATTTCGATCCATCTTTCAAATGTTTAATGAATTTCAAATGGATAATCTAAATTTTGTAAGAATTTATTTAGGGTAAAAATTTATGTATGAACGAATTTTAAATGAGTGGTATCGATATGTATCGTTTAAATGAGTGGTATATAAATGTGTGAGTTTTTAAATTTAGAGGTCAATTCACCAATTGAACTTAAGAAAGCAATTAGAAATCAAATTCAAACCCCAAGTAGATAGGTATGTAACAACTCAAGCCCACTAATGTTGTATTATTTGGAGTTTCCCTTTCGAGCTCCTCTCAAAGTTTTAAAACACATCCCCTCAAAGTTTAAAAAACACAGGTGATAGAAAATAGTTTTATCTTTATAAGAAATGTTTTGTTTTTCTCTCCAACCAAGCTACAATCTCATACACAAATCATATGGGTTAAAATTTATCCCCAATTTTATATTTTTAAATCACTACTCACACGTGCATTAGTTCTAGAAAGAAATGACAACTTCAATGGCTTTTAGAACCCAGTCAACAACTTCTACGCTTTTTAGAACTTAGTCGTCCTCCATGAAAACAAATGAAATACAAGAACAGGGCTTGGAAACAATTTCACTTGAAATTTTGTTCTAAAACCATGAAAATTATTTTGGAAACAAACTCAAAAGTCACGAAGTCCTTGAAATTACTTACTTCCTCTCCACATTAATTTAAGAAAATCGCTTCCAAGTTCAGTGGAACCACAGGAGATTGAAAGAGGAGAGTTGGAAGGGAAGTAAAAGAACTTTATACAGAAACATCCAACAACAAATCCAGGCTGATATATACATGTCAGAGTCAATCTTCTCTCTCTCACTTCTTTATTCTAGAATCTAACTTGTCATGTTCATAAATCAAATGCTAAAGTTTCAGTCTCTGCACATCCTAGTTCCGGTGGCCACTTAGTTAATGGCAAACAAAAGACAGAGAATAGCACACAAATTGTTTCATAACTTCAAATGGCCAGGCTAATTTACCTTGCAGCTTGTGTTATTCCATGTCCATTTGCTAAGTCAAGTAATGCAGAAACCGGAAGAAGGCCTATTCCTGCCTTCTGATGCACTTCTAAAAAAACCCCATATCTTGGAATATAATAGCCGTCCTCTAAAGATATTTGCTAGCTGAAATCCAGCCATAGGAATCTCCTCCTGGTTGGAACCGTCCTCGTGAACTTCATAATTCACGGGATCGCCTTGACCAGCTACTTGATTCCCTTCAATAGATTTTGATTCTGCTGGCAGACTTTATGGGAAGTAAAAGTTAAATATCTAGTACAACAGAGTAAGAAGCAAATATTGAGAAATTCGTCTTCTATTGAACTGAGTTACAGAAATTAAGAATGGTAAGTCCTAGGTGATAAAGGCTAGTCTAATGATGAATATGGATGCTATTTATTTGTAGAAATGAGAAATGCAACAGAGATTACAACTGCATTACTGAAAATGTGAAATAGAAACAATGGAAATTTTATTTTGGAAATGATTCTGAACAAATTGTTGACTCCCCCTCAATGTGATTTTTTTTTTTTTTTCAATATTTTGAGGGAAAAGATTAGATTAAAACTTGAAAGATGGAGCTGAGCCATATATTATGAAAGAGTATACAATAATGCTATATTTGATGAATCAAATATCATGCTCTAATAACCAACCATTCTAATTAGTTAGATAATATTAGTTGAGAATTTTGTAAAAGATTCTACACAAAATTTCATTAACTAATACCCAATTCATGTCGAGTAAATAAACCGTCAAATTGAGAAATTGCATTCAGAAATTAGAATGGTATCAGCCCGTGGATTGGCATACGTATGCATGTGCCATGTGTTAGTGCGGCCACTAAAAAGAACAACACCAAACAACACCGTTTTGTAAGAGACAGACGCATGTGCTATTGTATCCATAAGAAAGAACAACTTACAACAACACTGTTTTGCAGGGAACGGCTTGGTTCTTCCTATCTCTCTTCATTGGCAGACAGTTGATAGACATATGCCTAATAAACTGAAGCTGCATAATATACGAGGACAAAGCATTAAAAGCTACAGAGCAGCAGTATTCAACTCAATAAACAAGCAAGAGACACATCACTACATTGCCACACCTGATCACCATCTTTGATGCCTACAACTCTAATGTATGCCTTGTCATCAATAAGCTTTTCTCCTTCATAACATAAGCAGAAATGTCCCCAGACAAGTGACCTACGAGCACATGCATTCATGCAAAACTCAAATAAAATTACAAACCTACCAAAAGAAACAAAAACAAAATCAAGGTGGTAAAATTAGTCACAAGTCTCATAAGATGGTCAATACTACCATGTAATCTTGCAGTGTTCGCTCGCCCGGGGTGAATCAAAAACTTCCTCTATCGCTTGTTTGAGATCTGCTACTGTACCATTGCGCGCTACACGAACACCTGGATAGCCAAACCATACGAAATCCATTCAAATTATAGTTAATAATACTGTAATTCTAGCAATACAAAGAACGAGTAGCTTCAAATATCTGGTTATTTTCACTGTACACATTCTCCACAGCTATAAAGCAGGGGAAAAAAGAGGAATAATGTAAAGGAATAACGAGAGTTACTTTTCTTGATATCGCATTTATCTTAGTCATATTCGCCATAAGCCATTACACTTTAATTAGTCACTCTTTTCAAACACTTTCCACTACAGTGTTCTCATAAAAGTAAGCGATTCTATTCTCTTAATTCTTAAGCAGGTTATCTTTAAGCACTTTCCGTTTCCATGCCGCTTTCAAGTTTCATCTCGACCACCTAAATAGCAAACGATAGTTCATCTCGAAGCAAAAGCGAAGTTCATACATGATATAGTTCTGATTTCTTGCAAGAAACAGAGTTAAAAAAGAAAGAATGAAAAAAGCGGACAGAAATGGCCAAGGAATCACCAAATACAGAGCCATCAAGCTTGAGGACAAAGAGATCAATGAGCTCCAGCCGAGGAAGCAACCGATAAGGCCGCCGTCTGAGAGCGTCAACATCACCATCTCCGTCGAGCGTAAGCGGAGCCAAGCACCGGTTATCAATGAAGCGGTTGAAACGCCATAAGTTACCGATCTTACTCCTCTCTCGGGGACCGCCAATCCTTCGCATCCTAGGGCTCTGAAGCAGCTAGGGTTTGAGTGAGATCGAGAATTTGAAATCGGAAAAGACGAGGGAAGAAAAATGGAGGGATTTCGGGGAAGTTTGTTTGTTGGTTGGTTCTGAGCTTTCAAATAGAGAGGAGAGGACCGTTACACAATGGTGGAGGTTTTTCCTTTTACATATGGACTCGCGCTAACAATTTTACTTTTAAATCCAGAAATTTCCACGCGCGAGTGGCGGTACTCGCAAAGTCTTATATTTTCCTACTCGCGCCCTTCTCCCGCCATGTGTACAAAGGTGGCCCCTCAATTAGTTACTCTTTTTATTATTATTATTATTATTATTTTGCTAAATATCTCATTAAATATAAATATAAATTTTATATCTAATATATCTATATAAAAAATTTACTCGAAAATTATTATATATCTCATATTCGTAGCTTTACCTTTTCTCCTCAAAGTACTTTGGAAAAGAAAAAATATATATATCAAAGATGGAATCATGTTTTGTTTCATACGGTGGGGAAATTAATGAAGGTATCTAATTCTCTCTTTATCCATTCCTTTTGAATTTATGGAAGCCTTCATCATATGGAGAAGGAAAGACCTACTTACTTTAGATTTTGGTCTAGTTACATATGTGCCAAGCCCGAGGAGAAGAGAGAAAAGGTAAACGGTTTATGACCACCATTAATAGATATTGTCAGCTTTAGTCCATTACGTCAGTCTCACGCTTTTAAAATACGTCAGTTAAGGATGAGTTTTCATACCTTTATAAAAAAATATTTTGTTATCATTTTGAACGATGTGGGATCTCTAAATTCGTCTCTCTTATGAGAACAACGTCATTGTTAATACATAGCTTGGTGTCTGGTTTTGATATGAACTTTGCTTACGTAAAGGCAAGACACCTCTGTACGGATGACAGTGATGGCGTGTTGAAAACCATGAAAACTTGTGTTATGGTAGATGAATTTCATCTTTTCGTAGACTTCAAATGCTTTTACTCCTTTGGTTCTAAGAATTTCGACGGATTTCTATAAGTCTGTTTGTTCTTGAACCTCGGTCTCGTGTCTATATTTTAAATATTAAAAAAATCCAATATTTTTAATACAAATCTGTGAAATGAATCTTCTCCTTCCTAAAACAACAAAACAAACAAACAAACAAAATGAAAGCAGAAAGAAGTCTGTACATGCACACACAGAGAGAACCCAGAAAGTTGGATACAGTTTGATGCCACTTACAATACAATACAATACATACACACACACACAAATAAGAACAAAAAGAGCCAAAACAAATCTCAGCTGCACTCATAAAACAATGCTTGAGAATCATAATCAATACCCAAATTTACCACTCTGACATGCTTTTGTAAGTGACAGCCAGAGCCTCCAAAGGGAAAATGGGGAAAAAAAGCTTGAAGAAAGAAGACTTAGCTGCTATTCTCATGTGGGTTTGGTGTTGAATTCTCTTTTGAATCCTTTTCTTCTGATATCAAGTCTGAGCTATCTTCACCAGCTGCTGCTGTCTCTGTAGTTTGTGCTGCAGCTACTTGATGGCTCTTGAACAGTTCATCATCTTCTAACTTGGCTACCTTCTCTTTCGATTCTCCTTTTAGCAGCTCTACGACCTCGAGCATGGTGGGACGTTTCTCAGGCCGTGAATGGGAACAACTGAGTGCAACGAGGACGACTCGCTTTAGCTCGTCTGCATTGTACTCTCCATTTAGCTTTAGATCTGCAAGTTCGTTGTATTTTTTCTCAACTACTACCGGCAGTGCCCACTCTGTGATTGTGCGTTTCGTTGTTGCACTCAACTTCTCAAGAGGTTTCTTTCCGGTTGCGAGCTCGAGCAGGAGAATGCCAAAGCTATATACATCACAACTCTCTGATGCCTTCCCTGACATACCGTATTCTGGAGCGAGGTATCCAAGTGTGCCCTTGACTCCTGTTGTTACATGTGTTGCATCATCGGGGATGAGTTTTGCGAACCCGAAGTCGACTACACGAGCTTGGAAGTCTGAATCGAGCAAAACATTATTTGGTTTGATGTCTTGATGAATTATACGTGGAGTTGCTTGGTGGTGAAGATAGCTGGACCAAACAAAATTAGGAGCGTTATAATGTGAAGAACGATGGAAGATAAATGAAGACGTGTGTACTTACGCAATTCCCTCAGCAGACCCGATAGCGATTTTCATTCGGCGTTTCCAATCGAGTTGGGATTCTGAAGAGTGATGCCCATGTAGATGGGAGAGAAGACTTAGATTGGGCATGTAGTCATACACGATCAAACGCTCTTGCCCTTCAACACAATAGCCACGTAAACTCAATAGATTCTTATGCCGAACTCGGGCCAGTATCTCGACTTCAACAGAGAATTCCATGTCTTCTTTGTTGTTCCAAACCTTCAACCTCTTAACAGCAATCTGCAAAACTATTCCATTCAGAATCGGTTGCAGTTTCTGTAACTCAAAATACAAATAATGTTAACATGTTCAAAGTACTGATATGGTATTTCAATCCTAGAAGTATGCAAAGCAAGGATTAATTTACAACCAAGATTCCGTCTTTGAACTTTATGGTATTAACTCCTTATCATAATGAAAGCATACTTAGCTTGCAACAATAGAAATTATCAACATTCTGCTGCCAAGAAACCAAACAGAACAAGAGAAGAATTTTCTTGATAGAAGCAGTACCAAATCAACCAAACAGCCCTCTGTGAGTTTCCACATCGGTTAGAGAGGGGAACAGAGCACTCTTTATTTATAAGTGTGAAAACCTCTTCCTAGCAAACGCGTTTTAAAAACCTTGAGGGGAAGCTTGAAAGAAAAATCCCAAAGAGGACAATATCTCCTAATAGTGGGATTGGGCTATTACAAACGGTATTAGAGCCAGACACCAGGCAATGTGCTAGCGAGGAGCTGAGCCTCGAAGAGGGGTGGATTGGGGGGTCCCACGTTGATTAGAGAAGGGAACGAATACTAGCCGAGAACGTTGAGTCCCGAAGGGGGGTGGATTGTGAGATCCACATTGGTTGGAGAGGGGAACATAGCACTCTTTATAAGGGTGTGGACGCTGAGTCCCGAAGGGGGGTGGATTGTGAGATCCACATCGGTTGGAGAGGGGAACATAGCACTCTTTATAAGGGTGTGGAAACCTCTGCCTAATAGACGCATTCTACAAACCTTAAATGGAAGCCCGAGAGGGAAAGCCCAAAGAAGACAATATGTGCTAGCGGTGGGCTCTTTCACGATCATGCGACAAACATCTGGAAAATTTTACACGATAGGGAGCATGTACATGAAGTTTCAAAGAAGTGTAAACTTCACCTCTTGAACTGAAAGACTCTGCTACATCCAATGGATTATTCAACACAGGCGAGATCCTAACTCAATCGCTTACAAGTAGTTTAAAACCAACCAAATAAGTGCTCAGATGGTGCTAAAATGACTGGGTAAATTTGGAACAATCAAGAAAGGTGCACAATTTCCTTGAAACATGTTGAGAAGGAATATTCCAAATTTAAAACTTAAATCAAAGAATCTATGTTACATCAATGATAGGATGAAATATGATAAGATAGGCTTCCTTGGATCATTATTGAGCAAATAATGACACTAGAGTTTGTATTGAGAAAAGTTAAGGCATTGATTACTTGTGATCCATCCCAAAGCTGACCCCAGTAAACGCTACCAAATTCTCCTTCTCCAAGCTTGTTATCATAATTGAAATTATTTGTGGCCGAGTGTAACTCCTTCAATGAAAACACCCTCCATGTTTGATGTTTCTTCCCTCTTCCTTTCCTGCACAATAAAACAGTCAACAAACAAAACCTTCAATCATATGCATCAGGACAATCAGATGAAGAATCAAAGTTCACTAAAACTTCTTATGTCACTCTTTCCTCCCAAAACATCATGCCCACAAAGTGCTCGATAAAATTCCCCTTAGAAGTTCGAACAATATCTCGCAAGTTCAAAGTCAGACGCGAGTCCAAAATTCCAACCCAAAACAATACACATCAGATTTCCAGAAAACTAAAGATTTTAAGCGATAACCAAAAAGGGGCACAGAAAAGGGGGGGAATGGCAAAGAAGGGTAGCCCAAAAATTTCATATCAGTACCAAATAACTTGATGGAGTAAATCAACACAGAGTTTCAACTATTAAACGTACCGTGCGGAACCAATTCCACAGCAAAACATCGCGCGAAAGGCCATGAACACGGAGCCAAATCACACCCACTTGCACTAAAGAAGAACTAAGCTTCTTCTTTCTTAATTTGTACGCAGAACGTAGAAAACAATAGAGATGCGAATCGTAAAGGAATAGAGGAAGAAACAAACATTTGAAAAGAGTAAAAGGGAAATGGGTTCTGCTTGATGGGATTTTGATTTTGAATTTGGCTGTGAAACAGTTAAAAAGAGAAGCTCGCCGAGTGTTGGGCTTCCAAGATAGAGAGGCTCAGACGAAGACGAATGAGAGAGCGTTTTGTAGAGAGAGAAAGAAGAGAGAGAGAGTGGAGGCGCGCCTGTAGTCTTCTTCACGCCTTCATATCTGTCTCTCTCTGTTCTTTTGTCTTTTTTGGGGATTCTAATTATATATTTCAAATCATTTTCAAAAAAACAACAACAATAATAATTAACAAATTAAAATACCATTTAAATCACTAAATTTATTAAAATATTTAGTCTTTATCATATTTTTTCTTTATTTAAATTTTATAAACATATTCATATTACTTTATATGCTCCTGTTACCATATTTTTTTTATTAAATTAAATTACCACCTGATGGGTCAGGCCCACGTGACACAAAAGTTTACTGGGCCTGAAGATACCCTACACAATTATATATATTTATATATATAAAAAAAACAACAACAAGAAAAAACAAATAAGCTTTATCTTACACTTTATGTTATAATAATTTAATGATGACCCAAATACAAGTAGTTAGTTGAAACAACCAAACTAGAATAGAGCTTGAGCTTGTACGACGTGTCCCGAGCGATGTATCACTTCTAGTTACATTTTCTTTACCTTTAGAAATGTGTTGTACGGTTCGACTTGATTCAGAATTTGGCCTATTACATGGACCGATACCAACACTATATGGTGAGGCTGACATGTCGACAACTCCGGTCTCAGAGTCGTAACACAAGTTCGAGTTATTGTACAATGTAAGTTTCTTCTTCATCTTCCAAATCATTTGTTTCTGCAATGGGATTCGTCCGGTCAACATGTTATCGTTGAGTCTTAGATCGTTGAGGTTTCTCAAATCTTGAAAGTTTGAGGGGATCGAACCGTTAAAGTAGTTGGCATCAAGATGTAGGACTCGAAGATTGGGTAATCGACCCAAAGACCTAGGAATTGGTCCGTGAAAGCCCATATTAGAAAGAATTAACGTCATCAAGCTCAACATGCCGTCAAATAGATCATTAGAAATGCTACAACTCATTGGATTTCCTTTCAAAATCAAAACCTCTAACGAGCTCAAATGTTGAAGTGACATCGGAAGTGGACATGAGATTTGATTATAACTCAAATCCAAAAGTACGAGATCCTTAAGCTCGGTAATTGATTCTTGAATTACTCCTATCAAGCTATTACGACTTAAATCCAATTTAATAAGAGACTGACATGTCACAATCCTATTTGGAATCAAACCCGTCAAAAGATTTTGACTCAAATCGAGTATTCTCAAATTATCCAACCCCAAACTCGGGATCGAACCAGTCAACTTATTCCAACTCAAATCCAACGACCGCAGACCGACCAAACGGTTCAAGCCAACCGGAATCGACCCGTTTAGGTTATTCCCATGAAGATCCAAAACCTTGAGCCGGGTCAAATTAGTCAATTCACTGGGAATTGGGCCAATAAGCCCATTCTCTCGTAGGACCAAAGTCTGCAAGGAAGGGCCCAACTGCCCTAAAAACGAAGGGACAATTTGCGGATTATCAGTAAAACAACGGTAAAAGAACAGCGTCCGAAGATGGGGGAGTTTAGCGAGGGAGGGAGAAATGGTGGATCGGGTCGGGTCGCAGGTCGGAAATGCGGTATCGTCGGAGAGGGATCCGAAAGAGAGAGAAACAACATGGAAGAGATTGTGATTATCAGGCATACATTCAATGCCGTGCCATCGGCCGCCGCAGACGTCGGGGATTTGGGTGGCCCAGGGATTGCCGGTGGCGGACATGATATCATAGACGGCGGATTGTTCGGCGGGGTCGGTACGGACGGCGGCGTTATGGAGGGAGAAGCCGGATTGGGGGCCGTCAACAAGGGCAGAGGGAGCGCCGGAGTCAGACATAATGACGGTGAAGGAAGCAGAGAGGGAAGGATAGTAGAGAAGGATGAAAAGTGTGAGAAGATTGGAGATTTGAATTAAGGCCGCCATTGGAGGGATTTGAAGAAGAAAAAGGGCAAATTTTGGGATTTATAGTGTTTTTTTGAGAATTTATTGGGTCACGAGAATTTGAAGGGGGAGGATTTGTAACAAGATAGAGAGGAATGTTATTAATTATTCATATTTATGGAGCTCACGGGATTTTCGAGTTTCAGCCTTGGGCTTTGGGGGAGTGGGCTCTCCAAGTGGGCCCTCCACGTGGGCCCATTGCAAAATGTGGAGCCTTCCTTTTTTTTTAAAAAAAAAATTCATTTTATTCCATCAAAATCATATCAAATAATTATTTAAAATAAAAGATTATTTTTTATAATTTTGTTAAAATAGTTATAAAATTACTAATAATAGGGTTAGGTACGTGTCAAATACACAACCGCCATGCAAACGAAACCCTTGAGAGCTCGACACCTGAAAGCTTTATTTTCTAATTTCCCACCCACGCCCATTACAAAATCCTCAATTTCCCAAATCACAACGCCCAAAAGAAAATTAAATTTTTTAAAAAAAAATTAAAAAATCCACCGAAAAAAGCAAAAAAAAAAAAAAAAAA